GAAAGTGTATACACACCTAACAAGTCAAAATATTATAGTCAAGTGCTTTTATTCACTTATATCTTTAACTGTATCTATCTAAATGAAAATACACACATCTATGTGAGAGAAAGTATTAAGAAAAAACTCAAATATATTTTAATTACAATTAGGAAACAAAGGTCTAAAACAAATGGAACATTCCATTAAAGAATTGATCACTGGGCTGGGAGGGTGGCTCAGTGGTAGAGCGCTTGCCTTGCATGCATGAGGCCCTGGGTTCGAGTCCTCAGCACCACATAAGCAGAAAAAAAAAAGCAGGAAGTGGCTCTGTGGCTCAAGTGGTAGAGCGCTAGCCTAGAGCTGAAGAGCTGAGGGACAACGCCCAGGCCCAGACTTCAGGCCCATGACCGGACCCAAAAAACAAAAACAACAAGAATCGATCACTGAACTACTATAAAGGATGACTAAGTATCTTAACTATTATATGTACGGGTAATGCCTTCTCACAGAAAAAAAAAAACAGGCAAAAATTCAACTTTCAATACAATTAATCCATATTACTGATAATGAATTGACACGATATGAATTACCTGTAATCCTAAAAATGCTTTTTTATTTATAACTGATATAACATAAGTGCAATTTATGAAACTTATTAAAATGTAATTAGTAATGCTTTCCTGAATACTGCACTCTACAAAGATTTTATACCAAAGCTGAGACTGGAAAACTTTGGCTATCATCAAATCCAGCCTTCCACTTGATTTTGAAAAGACAGTTTTATTGACACTCCTTTACAAACACTGTCTATGGTTTTCACTGTGTTCTCTATAGGCAGAGTTTAATAGTTGTCAGTGATCATAGCACCTAAAATAATTTACTATTTAGCCTTTTACAGAAAACATTTGATTCCTAAATTGAGATGGTATTTTAAATGTGTACACACACAAATACATCCACATAGTCACATACATCCTATGTAACCTTTATTAGAGAACATGTAAAGTTGACCATTAGGAATCTGTATGTTTCCTGGATCTTCATTTTTTACACACTAACTTCTGCATACCTTCTGGCTGACTTTGCTGGTGTGCATTATTTGGACTGTAACCTTTACAACTTACTTTAAGAGAAAAATGTCACGGAATACTATACCTGTATTTCCCAAAAGATTTATTATACTTTTTAATGTCTACATGGTATCTTACAAAGAATGGCAATGTATAAACTTAGACTTTAGATTCTGAACTAAGAATATGATGGCTACATAGTTGGAAATAGAATGCAATCTGAGAAAATACATCATAAAGACACTAGGCTTTAGACACAGAGTTAATGAAGAAGGAAAAGAGTATTCTAGACCTAAGAAATCACCAATTGCATGTGTCAGTGTTTAATATTAAGTAGTAAACAGTAAACTATAATAAGTAA